AGGAATGGGTAATACTGTTGAAATTGACGGTCTCAAGAAGGAGGGGTATCACAACATAGACGAAATTTATTGGCCTTAGCACTGAATTTCAATAGGGTGGATATCCAAATCGGCTGCCCTGCTGAATAAAAACAACAACAACAAAAACCCATTAAACCGGGAGGGGATGGAAAGAGCTGGTCATTTAAAAGCTAAGATATGGCAAGTCCAAAGCCCTGATGCTGATTTAATTGTATATTTGGTTCCAAAGTAATGTTGCGAAAGTGAAGTCAACTAATCTAAGGCAACTTTAGGATATTTGGATACATATTCAAATATGTATGGAAAAAGAAGTTGATAATTTAAAAGGAATGACTCATCCATGCGCAATGGATTTTATTATATAATGAATGCTAGATGAGGGCCTACTAACTGTTAATTATTCAATTTACGGTGTTCCAAAATGGAACATCTTAAGCTTAATATTTTTATACTGAGTACAAATACAGTATAACATTCAAACTAAAACAATACACAATGTTTTTCTTTTTTTTTTTGTTGTTATTGTCGCTTCGTTTCTTGAGCACTGGTACCTACGATTCAGGCTTATGACCAGTTATGTATGTATATATCTACACATACGTATATGTATAAACCCGAAACTGGTTTCCACCATGTCAAACACTTTGGAGGTGAAAGTGTACCGTCATGCTGGTGTTTTCAACATGGAGAAGAAAACGAATGACGTACAGTTAAGAAAAGCAAATCATTAAATATAGTATATTCAGTTTTATAAATAATACCGAGAAAAAAAAAAGGTTGGATCACTGCATAAGTCGCATCTATATTTTGTTCTATGTACAACTGCAACATGTATATAACTTTAAAGCTGTATAAACACCCGTTAAACTTGTTGAAAATATAACTTTTTGAAAACTTTTTTTTTTTCTTTTACACGTTGGGAATTTGGCGATCTTTTATGTTGTGGCATATTAGTTACGTTAGTGTGGTCGTACTGTGTATTCGAAGTTCGCGACCCGTCACTACAAAAACAACAACAAAAAAACGCTCTTCGCACTTTGGGGCCTGTGTTATAAGAATAACAGTCAACTCCTATTCGGCTAGACAAGAGTTGGTGGTGGGTACTATATCCTAGCTAGGCGCCTTCCCTTTTGTCTATTTGAGAAAATTGTGGCCTGCTTTTTTGCAGATAGTCGCATGTTAATTTGTTTTTTGTGGCAAATTTTGTGAAACAATCAATTTTTCTTTTTCATATGATTTGAGACATAGTTGATCAGAAAGGCCCTGATTTATGTATTTTCCCATTATTTGACTTTGCAAAGCTGTGGGTAATTATATCTTGTGTTGTTAAAGTACTTTCACAAAGATAAAATCTTTATTTCCACTCCTCTGTACCTCTTATCCCCCCCCTTATATTTTTGAATACCGTGACTTTTAAAACAGCTGTATAGTAACTGATTACGTAATGTAAAATATCGAATTGGTAATTTACATAATTATAATTTCAATATTTTATTATACCGAGTATACTTATGGATGTCTAAAAATGATTAATACATAATGTATTCACTATAAATAAATAAATAAATACACACAATAGTGTATCCCACTCGCCTGTAGTGCATTTAAAACAACATAGTACTTTCCATAAACATACAGATTGAACAAATTGCACGGGGACGATTTAATAAGTTTTTCTTGTTATCGTACGACGTACACCACACTACAACTATGTCAAAAAATATTATTGTCCAAAGAATAATGAACACAACTGTTGACAAACAAATACGGACTACACGTATATTGAAGTTAATGTGATCGAAATTATTCTAAGATACTTGGTTGTTTTTTTTCCCTCCAGGGAAGATGGGAATCCTTGCCGTTACGTAAAGGATAACTTGCCTTTTGGTTATAGTAGCCAATGTAAACAGAAGTACGCCTACAAGAACCTTTTAGCTATTCATCCAAAGAAGAAATCTACATTTTTGGATTCATTTCCTTTTCCCTCGTGTTGTTCGTGCTTTATCAAACTTCCGCCAGAATTCCGTCGCAAGAAACCGGAAACAAGAGTAGAGGATTCCGGAAGCGGACTTAGTTAATACGTTTATGAACTTGAAATTTCTCCCTTTCACCTTAGCTGTGCCGCTAATAAACACCCGAAGTTGGAGTCTTTTTGTGTGACGTTAAGAAAAACGATTACACAAGACCAAGACGCACCTAAATCCTTTGATTTGTTTCAATTCCTCAATAAAGCATTCGGGAATCGATGAATGTTGTATATGTTTTAATGAATATGGCAGGAAATTAGTGTGAGAAAGAATGTACCATTTTGTTTTTATTATCACTTGACTCTCATTTTAATATTGTTTTATGTATACCTCTTTGGCCAAACTAAGTTGAATTGTTTGCATTAAAATGTGGCCACGTATAAAACTCATTGTTTAAAACATTTGACGTATTTCGTTGTATTGTCTTTTAATCTGCTAGAAATAGCCACTTAGTAAAGAAGTGGTGGTGGTGGGGGAAAATACAAGAAAGAAGTATTATTTGATGATGACCAGATTATGTATGCCTTTTTTTAATAAATATTTTTGTCGTAGATTTTTAAAAGAAAATACAAGAAAGAAGTATTATTTGATGATGACCAGATTATGTATGCCTTTTTTTTAATAAATATTTTTGTCGTAGATTTTTAAAAGAAAATACAAGAAAGAATTATTATTTGATGATGACCAGATTATGTATGCCTTTTTTTTAATAAATATTTTTGTCGTAGAGTTTTAAAAGAAAATACAAGAAAGAATTATTATTTGATGATGACCAGATTATGTATGCCTTTTTTTTTTAATAAATATTTTTGTCGTAGATTTTTAAAAGAAGTTATTTTTTTTATTTCTGTACATTTATTAAGCTGCGGTTCTAGCTCGCACTTCTTGACTTAAAATGACAATCGCATGATAAAACGTACAAGTTTCACAACGTTGCCCAATGGCTCTCTGTGCTGAGCCTACCGTATAGATTGAACTCCAAATTCTAGTGTTATAAGCTCTCGATCTTACAGCACAAGAGTGGTCGAAATATTGGTATTAAATGTTATATTTTTTTCTAAAGCCGAAAATTGTTCTTTTTATTAAATATGTCAAACAATATATTTCTTTCAACACTTGCCCACCAGTGGCTCGGCGGTGAGAGTGTCGACTTATAACGCTAAAAACCGGGTTTCGATACTCTCGTTAAGCACAGATAGTCCATTGTGTAGTCTTGCGCTTAGCAACAAACTTTCAGCACTTCGCGCATTAAAAAAAATCCAGGTACCAACTTTGACTCTAAGTGTATATAAAATCAGTGCTGTAGAGTATTTTATAACGAAATTTATTTAAAGTTTTTGTTTTAAAAGATGATTATTTTTAGTACTTCTTTTAATCAGTTATGTAAGACGAGTGCATTGCTTCATTGTTAGAGACGTACGCATGACTACCTAGAGAAAAGATGTTAAAATCTTTCTTGTTTTATATATATATTTATTTTATATATATATATATATTTTACACATATTAATGTTAAAATATATGGATGAAACAATATATATATGAAAACATGTCAGTAAGAGTTTGATAATAGTTATTACTTGTTTGAAATACTTGACCTGTCTTGCCGTTGTTTACATTGTGACGGGTAAAATTTTTAAGATGTATTTCGTATATTGTTCTATTAGGCCTAACGACTCTTAAATGATTGTACGTGTATTGGCCTGTTGGGTTAACGTAGCATTTTAAAGTAAGAAAACGTTAATTTTGATTTACATGCTAGAGAAATTTGGCGCCGGCCAAAGAATAGGTTCTTTTATTCCGTTCAATCATGGAGTCTTCTCGCAATGCATTCGTCTGCAGAGATGGCCCTAATTTTTAAAAAACCCACCACAGGGAGATAACAGGCCGGCAGCAACGACATTTTACTTTTTATTTTAATTTATTGCCGTGTATCTTTTTTTTATTAATTTTTTTTAACACCAAGTATTGAATCTAAATAGGAAAATCTTGGATTCGATCGCTATTATAAGATATCAAAGGTGCTGATTTGTTTTGTAAATGTATTATACAAGTTTCAATGATTATCTTTTAACCGAAATTTCAAACCTGTTTGTTTTTCTCGTTTTTTCGGTATTCTGATCTTAAGCCTCAACGTTCGCTGAAGTTTTAGAGACAGGTCTGACGTTCAAGAGTCTACAGTTTCTTAAAGATTAATTTTTGTTTAAAATATAAAATGATAACTTCAGAACCGGATAAACTGGCTATTAGACCATAATCGCAAAACTAAGAGAGGGAAAATGTCCCTGTTTTTTGGATGGTGTGGGTATTTTGTTTTCTTTCGGTCGGTTGGTAGAGGAATTTAAGTACTATTATTACATCAGTTACCATTCCAACTGAAGTTGTATAAAAGTACTTTATTTTCACATGCAGCTGCCTGGAATAGGCCTAACTGTCATGACAGCTTTTGTTTTGATACCAGATAGCTGGAAGCGAGAGAAAGCAAATATAAAGATTAATAATTTATGTACAGTCAGGCGAGGAAAAAAAAAGCGTTATTGAACTGCACACGTTTACAGACCTATATAAAACAAACACTATATTTCTTCCATAACAAATATATATTTTATTAGCACAACACTCATATTGAACAGTATTGACAAAAAAGATATACACGAAATTCAATACAGCCCTTTGTAATTTTTTTAATACAACCATCTATAAAATGGTTGACTTTGCTAACTTTGCAATATGATAACACAACTTGTGTAACATAAAGTAATTCCATTATGAAAAATTATTTAACCATTAAAAATGTTCCAATATGCATATAAGTAATAGCAGTTTAAATATATACATGTAATAAGTTATTTAACGTATTAGTTATAAGTAATAAGTAAAGCGTAATATTTAATATCGACACAAACACTAATAAAATTCACAAAAGCTCAGCACGTTTATTTCAAGTTTAAGGGTAAGAAACTTCTCATACTGAAACATGTTTTGTTTGTTTGTTGTTTTTTTTACTCACGAAATGTACTATTTCTTATTGTTACAAACAATTTATATCAAACGTAATAAAATTGTTAAACATTCTTCAAAATACTCATTTAGAAAATGAATCTCAAAATGCATTTTCAAAAGCAATATGAAATTATAAAATATTTATTTTTCCTCCAATCAGGTTTTGTTAAGATTCCAAGATATTTTACGCGTACGGTTATTGCATCAGAGAAACGTGTTCGAAGTTTTGTAAGCTCGTCACAAACATTATCGTATTTAATATGCGAAATGATGGAAAATGGATAATAATATTATTATATGTCTTTGGTTTATATAGACAATATTTAGAGTTTATTAGTAACAAACTAATATAAGATAATTCATATCAATTAACTTTTAACAGTATTCTGGGTTACTATAGTAACTTACTTGTAGTTCCAAAACTAACCGAAGCTAATTTAATTTTAACGGTTACATCTGACACAGTTTAAGGTAATTCATAGTGATTAACTTTAACGGTATTCTGGGTTACCATAATAACTTGCTACTAGTTTCAAAACTCGCCGAAGGTAATTTAATTTTAACGGTTACATTTGACGTATCTTAAGAAAGGGTTAAAAGTGAATCATATTTTCTAAACATGTCGGTAGAACCTGATGATTGGAAAGGTCGTTAACCCTAGATTTTTCGCTATCCGAGTAAACTTTAGTATTGTTGCGTCATCGAGATCATGTGATTCTCACGCTCTCTACTTTCTAGAATTATCCTGTACTTTGGCGAATGTTCTACTTCTTACTAGATATAGGGTAGGCTCGTATATAAAAGAGGGGAAGGTAATGTGTGTATAGATAGTGAGTAATTGAACTGCAGTCAGAAGTATTATTGACGTTCGTTTGTTTAGCGCGATTGTTGAAGTTGAGTGTATCGGTAAAGTTATATTCGGAAAGAATAAACCAGTTTTATTAAGTAAAGACTTGTGTCATTAAAATTTCGTCGGAACGAAGTTACGGAAAAATCAATTAACGAAACGGAGACGTAACAGTATTCTGGAGAAAAAAGTAAAGAAGAATGAATTACATCCACAAATATCGAACGCGGTAAGTGCATTCATTGGCTATTCAGCGATTTGTTATTATTGTAAATTTCAAGCTCTCTGGCTTGTTTATTTTCTTCGTTATTTTACGATCATTATTCCACAATATCATAGTAATTCATTTAGAATAAATTTGATGCACATGGTTGATTAATCCTGCAAGCTGATTCTTGTGAATTCAAATCCTATATCTGAGCATTTTAGGTGCATTTTTATGTTAGCTTTATTAAGCACACTCTTATGCTGTTACGTGATTTATAGCTTCAGAAACTTTCTCACGATGCTCAAAAATAAAATAAACGAAAATGTATTCTACTTAATAATGTTAAAATTACTTAATAAAAATAATAAATAGAACAACATATTGAGCTAAAACTACGCTATGATTATATGACTTTTATGTTTGTAATCTTAGGCCTTTATATTCAATAATTAGATGATTACGAATCAAAAGTTGGGAATAATAAATAATAAACATCGTTTTCTGAATGATGGCGTTAAGTGCAAACTCAAGGTTAGAAACAGTAAGTATTAAAGAATACGACTATATAGTGGTACCATAGCAACATTCGTGTGATACGTTACAGAAAGAACACCACGCAACGATAAGCAACAAATATACACACGTCATGATGGTCGCTTTAAGCAGCTGTGACTTTTCAAATTCAATCATCTTTTTTATTTTTTATCTTTTAAGCCGTTATATACCACAGTAGCAAACTTGGTAAGCCCGTTACTTCTTTTCCCATCTACAACCACATAAGGGTTTTTAACACTGAACCGATGATATCTGTGGTTTGTAGAACTTTTCTTTAATGAGATATTTAATAAATCAATCAGATATACAATTTTTGACATTTTATAAAAAAATTCCTTTCTCGTGGGGATATAAGATGCCTGGTCGCAAAAGGTTTAAGGAGGCCTTGCCTATACACACGATAAAACTTAATCGTGATCTGGGAGGGTCACATACTATTAAGACCTCATCCTCCCTCCTGTACTGGTGTTATTTGATTTATTTTAGTCCGCACCATTAATTGAGAAACATTGATAAAATCTGAGCATCTTATAAATGAGGGTTCTATATTTATGCAAAACCACTGGCATAATCACATTACCTCGATCAGGGCCATGCCCATTTACGTGCAACGTTTGAGAATTTGCACTGGTTTTAACTTTGCTTTACTTGGAATGTCACAAATAGTCCCACATATGCCAATGATTGTTCATTTGTTAATATATTTGGTATGTATTTAACACAAAAACCCTTTTAATACATAGTACATGCACAACAGAAATTATATGGTTAGGTAAGACTAGCAGTAGGTGGTTGATTGTTGTATTTATAGCACATATTTATGGAGAGTGGAAGTTAGGCTCATTTCCATCATGTATGATGTAGCGATCTAGTGAGCGTACTAGTCCGGGTTTGTTAAAGTTTTCTGGAAGTAGGCGTAAGTATGTATGTGTTTGTTTGTTTGATTGGAATTAAGCACAAAGCTACACAATGGGCTATCTGTGCTCTGCCCACCACGGGTATCGAAACCCGGTTTCTAGCCTTGTAAGTCCGCAGACATACCGCTGTGCCATTAGGGGGCGTAAGTATGTGTGTGTTTTCTTATAGCAAAGCCACATCTGGCTATCTGCTGTGCCAACCGAGGGGAATCGAACCCCTGATTTAACGTTGTAAATCCGAAGACTTACCGGGGGACCCGGAAGTAAGTGATCGACCTATTCAGAATTCTGTCGTACAATGGCTGTATATTCGCATATTTGTATAGGAAAGCTGAATTTTTATATGCACTAGTGAGGACTGAGTTTTGTTGAGTTTGCAGTTTGTTTGATTATGTATTAAGTTTGGTTTGGTTTGTTTTGAATTTCGTGCGAAGCTACACACGAGGGCTATTTGCGCTAGCTGTCCCTAATTTAGCAGTGTTAGACTAGAGGGAAGGCAGCTTGTTTATTTGTTTGTAATTAAGCACAAAGCTACACAATGGGTTATCTGTGCTGTGCCCACCACGGGTATCAAAACCCAGTTTCTAACGTTATAAGTACGCAGACATACCGCTGTGCTACTGGGGGGGGGGGCAAGGGAAGGCAGCTAGTTCACCACCAACTCTTTTACTAACGGATTGACCGTCACATTATAACGTTCCCACGGCTGAAAGGGCGAGCATGTTCGATAACAGGGATTCAAACATGCGACCCGTAGATTGCACCCCTAATTACCAGCCCATGCCAATCCTCAACATTAGTTATTGAACTTATTCAGGAATATGAGCTATGTTGTATTCATATCGGACTGAATATTCGGAATTTGCTGTTTTATGTTTCTCTTACTCATCTATATTTTTTAATTTCTTTTTTCACATTAGAGTATATGGGTACCAATGCGAACAATTTTATGCACGTTTTACTGCTTCTAATCACATTCTCTTATTCAAAGTTTGTCAGTTAACATATTTCATTCCATTTCTGTCCTTCTTTTAATAATATCTTTTTTTTTAATAATTTTTATCAAAGCTATATTTTTTCATATAAATAAGGTTCTGTATTAAAAAAAATGAAATTTTTGGTTATTATTTGCATGGTTAGTTACACAGTCACCTTTCATTGAATTTATATATCGAAAGAACAACAACAACAAGAAACATATTCATTCTCCCTCGTCCAAAAAAATAGGGCTAAAATTATTAACGAACGCCATCTGCACCAAGATGAACTTTTCAAATATCATATTGCCGGGAAACAAGAATACGTAATATTGTTATCAACCTCTTTGTTTGGTGATCTAGGCTTCGAACGTTCTCGTCTGTTGATATATTGACCTATACTAACTGCTGTATAAATTTAATGGGATATAATCGTTCTTCAATTTCTCATACATTTTTTATTTATTTATTTCAGCCTGTCGGCTGCATATATAAATTCATATGCATGTGCTTGGTTACATAATCATATCTTTTTTTTTTTTTTCCAAGAGAAGTTTTGAAACACAAATACATGAAACCTAATTACGAACTTAATTTATATTTTAATGTATTGTGATTTATTCTGAGTTAAGTAGATTAATCAGAAATATGATTTGAACAGCAATCACAGAAAAATTACATTAGCATGTCTATAGATTTGCACATAATATGGCGATCCACAAAGTAATGGTCAATATATATATATATAGATATACAAAATTACAGCTCATTGTATTAAGTGTAAAATCCACAGTACACTCAATACCAATTATTAAGTGTAAAATACACGGTATGCTTAATACTCAATATTAAGTGTAAAATACACGGTGTGCTTAATACTCAATATTAAGTGTAAAATACACGGTATGCTTAATACTCAATATTAAGTGTAAAATACACGTTATACTTAATATTCATTATTAAGTGTAAAATACACGGTATACTTAATATTCATTATTAAGTGTAAAATACACAGTATACTTAATACTAACTCTTTAATATTTGAAAGCAATATTATTGAAGATTGTAGATGAAAGTGTAAATTAAAGATAGAAACAAACTGTTGTTCGAACAAGGCCATTTTACGTACACATCAATTTGTGCTTCAAATATATTTTTAGCAGTACAGGGTGAGAGCTTGGTTGGTCACTCGCGATGATACAGCTGTTGAGATACGTAACTAAGCTTGATGATTATAGGTTCAGTTATACTTTTAGAAAATGTAATGCAGAAAATATATATATAGTGAGCGACATAAAGGTTTCCATTTGGATTGAAGGTTAGGGTGCTCGATTCACAATTTGTGGGTCGCGGGTTCGAATTTCCTTCATCGAACATATTCATCCCTTGAGCCATGGAAGCGCAATAATGGTACAGTCAATCCCACTATTTGTTGACAAGAGAGTCGTCCAAGAGTTGTCGGTGAGTGGTGTTGACTAGCTGCCTTCCCTCTACCACTGTTAAATTAGGGACGGCTAGCGCAGATAACCCTCGTGTAGCTTTGCGCGAAATTTAAGAGAAACAAAATCGACATATATAAAATGTCAACCATTAGGCTACGCCCGACCCAAAATGGAATCCAACAATGAGGAAACAACGACTAGCAGAGATACCCCCCCCCCCCCGAGTAGCTTTACACAAATTTCAAAAACAAATAAATAAACTTTTCGAAGTGCATTATTAAAACACGACTAAAATCTAAGAACTGACCACGATTCAAACGAGCCTATGCGGGCTTATGAATTAGTTGAGAAGCGTAAAGTAGCTTGTATATTTTGCCTCATTTAGTTTTGTTTACTGAAATAACACGGAATTTAAACTTCTGTAGCCTCATCGATACTTAAACTTTATACTATTATAAGGGATTCCTTCTCCGAAACAGTTTAACACAACATAATACATACCTTAGATTCCAATTAAATTTCAAATGTTCGACGTATGAAAACATGAAATTACATGTTTTATTAGGCTTTGTTTGCAGATAAAATTTTAATTTTTTTTCGATGGATCTATTAGGAAAAGACAAACTATACTCTGCTTGTGTGTGTGGTGGGGGGGGGGGGCGTCGAGCCCCTGCAATCCTGCCCTTATACCTCAAATCGAAACCGATTTCACTTGTAAGGGAAGTTCCCCGAATAATGGTGTTACTACGAATCAATTCCACACATTTTCAAACATCGAAACAAAGCCCACGTTCCTTTTGTTGTCATGATTAATGAAGACAAGGAAAGTCAATGTTTGTTTTTTGAAGTATCAGATTTGGTTTGTTTTTAAACGTTTTTTTTTCTGACAAAAGTGTGAAAGTAACTTTTCAACTAAACACAACAATTTACTCAAAATTACAGTGTATAGAAGTTTCATCTTCAAATTTAGAAATACGGCGCCTGAACTTAGTCCTAGCAGGTAACGTGCTGCCCTTCTTCGTGGATAAGCTTTGGCCCACGTTGGACACAGTGGTGAACGTCACCGACGTCATGAAACTGGTGGTTCGCTCACTTGTACAAGTACGACTTCGAATATTTTTTCTTTCTCGAAAATGTACTGGACGACTGCCTCGGATGCAAGGTAAAAGAAGACAAAATATCTGCCAGAAGCCATTGCGAAACTTGGAGTTCATCCAACAGTAGATGATAGGATTGTAGGAGGCGTGGCTCATAGCCAGCCAATGGCAAACAAACCAGACGTACTCAATATGCTCGTGATACCAGATTGATTGATCTTGATCACCCACTACGATCAAGGTGTTTAGAGGCAGCCAACAAAGTGTGAAGACCGTCACAACCGTGATCATCATCTTTACCATCTGTAATGACAAATGAAAAAAAAAAATGGTTGTGGTAAAAGGAACTAATAAGAGCAACAAATATTCTATTAGGTCCTCATCCATTTCGAATTAAAACTAAACTCTTTCAAAAATTCGAATAAAGAAAATTCTATAAAATGCTTGCTAATAATGTTAATCTAGTTTCATACGTTTGAGTCATTCTTATTTTATAATAATGTTAATCTAGTTTCATACGTTTGAGTCATTCTTATTTTATAATAATGTTAATCTAGTTTCATACGTTTGAGTCATTCTTATTTTATAATAATTTTAATCTAATTTCATACGTTTGATACATTCTTATTTTATAATAATGTTAATCTAGTTCCATACGTTTGATTCATTCTTGTTTTATAATAATGTTAATCTAGTTTCATACGTTTGATTCATTCTTATTTTATGATAATGTTAATCTAGTTTCATACGTTTGATTCATTCTTATTTATAATAATGTTAATCTAGTTCCATACGTTTGATTTATTCTTATTTTATAATAATGTTAATCTAGTTTCATACGTTTGATTTATTCTTATTTTATAATAATGTTAATCTAGTTTCATA